GTACAACTCAGTCTGCCTGCCAATGACTTCATTTAATATAAACACTGATTTTAAATCATTAAATATATTCTTTTTATTTCTAATTTATTTGAAACTGATTTAAAACAGTAAATACTTAAAATATGAGGGATCATGAGGCCTTCATAAATAAAGGTTGATGGGAGGATACATTTTATAATGCTAGAAAACAATAATGTATCTTACATTAATACCTTGTTTTATTGCAACCTGCAAGACGAGCCTGGCGCAGTCAGTGGATGAGAACGAAGAGCTGTGCTCAACATCAAACCCATCCTGTGATGCCCAAACACAGCGATCCGATGGAGTAACACAACTGTTCCATTCCAGCTTTATTTACAAAACACTTTAAAAACAACCCAGTTTACCAAAGTGCTGCACATACATAACTAATAACAGCAACTGTAAAAAAAAAACTGCACTTCAAGCTGAGTCAAAAGCCAGTGAGAAAAGGTAAGCTTTAAGAGAAGACTTAAAAACATGAAGAGACTCAGTTTGTCAGAGACAGAGTGATGTGGTCTCCCTTTTGTTCTCGGGTAGAGTTTCACCCACTTGTTTTATCCTGCAACAACCATTTGCTCCTATTTCACTAACTCTGGCTGTCGTGGACCAAATCCTGATGACTCTGATTAAACTATAACAGAACTTTGTCATGTCTGATTTAAAGCCCTGTCACACTATATCATTTTAGACATCTTATGATTTTTTATGTATAAATTAATAATAACAGTTATTTATTTTATTATTTTGTTAGCGTTACAGCATCTACACGTGTAAAAAAAGGCTTCCAGTTGTTCCATCTTCAGTGTAGATATCTTTGAAACTTTCTTAAGTTGGCACAAGTTGTCTAAAATGTTAGTGTGACAGGGCCTTTAGCATGGTTGTTTAAAACATACAACATTCAACAAACTGTTGAAGTGTGGTTGGACATATTGTCAGAACACATCAAGTATTGTATTTTGTGGTTGTCTTGTGAAACAAAATTAAGATTTGTGCAGGCTTAGTGAATTTAAGAGCTAAACTTATTTTAAGTGAAAACAAAGACTTCATTTTTGAAAATTTTCCAAAAATAGGAATAACTGAACAGAAGTCGAAACAAGTAAAGTATAGATTTTAGAACTAAATTATTTACTCACTAATCTAAATACAAATGTAAATTGAAAAAATAATTTGTTTGGTTCCCTGTATTGTGCAGTGTGCTAATATGTCTTCATTTTTTTTAAGTTTTATGCTTTTAATAAAAAGAAAAACAAAAACCAAGGTTTATTTTTGCTTTTAGCTTCATCCAGTGCTTTTTATGTTTTCTATATGTAAAACAGGTATCACTCATCTGCTTACTGTATTTTGAAGAGATTCAGGTATGTGGGGGCAGAGCTAAATATTCTTTGCAATAAATGTATCTACCAGTGTTGGAAGCATGTGTGAAAAGTAGACATTATGGACGTGTTACATGTGAGCATCTGAAAAGTTTTTTTCAAATGAAATGTCCAACTCCAGGTGCTCTTTGGTGTCCAGATAAGCAGCCATCAGCTCTGCAGCCCCATCACGTCACCGTCAGCTGGACCTAGAAGAATAAATGTTAAACYGTAACTTACCCCAAAATTAACTTTTTTTAGCTGATAAACTGTCTAGAATGTGTTTAAAATGTTATATAGTACTGTTTCTGTGCTAATTTTGATGTTTTTGTGCGTATTTGTCCAAATCTGTAATACAGTGGTTTGCAAAAGTATTCATACCCCTTGAACTTTTCCATATTTTGTCACATTACAACCACAAACATAAATATATTTCACTGGAATTTAATG